GCTGAGAGGACTTTCCCCTAAAGAGAGGGAAGAGTGCTCACACCTGGATTTCTGGCTGGCAGCCTCCATAGTTACGAGACGATGAATTTCTGTTGTTTTCTCCACAAACACACACACGTTTGTGGAAATATGTTATGGCAGCCTTAGGAAACTACAGCAGTGTGGTAAAGGGTAGTTGGCAGAAGAAGGGGTTGTGGTGTTAGTAGATAATCCCAAGGTATCCTTTGTCGAATTTGTAAGAGGAACTGACTAGCAGGTAGAGTCATAAACACAGAATGGGAGCCAGGTTAGTCTACTCCCTTGACGTTCTGACAAGGTTTCAGAATTTCAATGCCAGGAAGAGTTGCAGGACAAAATCCAGGAATGAGAACAGAAATAATGAGACAGGAGGATAAGCACTCTGTCTTCTATCTAGACAAGCTAATTCCTAAGCATTTTTATCTCTTTCCTGATTCTGCCCGTGAACATCCTACATCCAGAACGCCTGGCACCTCATTCTACTCCAATAATTCATTGCCTTTTCCTCTGTGAAAATGACATGAAGGCATACTCCTTCTTTCTGTCTTTCCTGTTGTTGTTATTTCTGGTGTTGGTGATGTTAGTGGTGTGTGTATGTGTGTATAGAGTGATATTTTCACAATTTTCTATTTTTCAAGTTTTCTTTTAGTGAGAACATGTGCTTGAGATTATTTAAGGAGTGCTTAAATAAAGACAATGGCATGTAATGCATAGCTGGTGGAGTATGAGCTTAAAAAAATAGCAGACATTGATATTAAAGTCTTTTTTATATGTTTTCTGTATTTAAATACAGTAATCTAAAACAATCTGCTATTTGGGGACAATGAGGTCTTCCATGTACTGTATATTTATTTTAGACATGAAGGAAATCAGGGTCTCTGATATGCCAACATTTCTAACTTCATGTTCTGAAGAAAATATGCCTAAAACATATCGTATACAGCCCTAAATTCTTATACAGACTGTATGTTTTCCTCGGTGGCTCAGGACCGACATTGTACAGATCTGCTATTCTGTGTTACACTGTGGTGTTCTGGGGCCTCCTTCCACAATGCCCTGCCGGATGCTGGAGGTTTGCTCCTTCTCCTTGCTGTGAGCTGGCCAGCTGTGCTCTGGCTGTTGCCAGCACACCCTCCTCTCCCAGAACCCTGTCTTTCTTTGGTGCGCTGTTTTTAATCCACTGTGGCCTGGAAATCCAAATAACACAGCTTGTTAGAACTGATCTTGTGCAAGAGCAAATGCCCCCAAGTGAGCATCTGTGATCCCAAGGGATTGTCTTCTGGAATCTGTCCTTTGATGTATATTCGATAAGTGTTAGTGTAAGATTGGCCAGAGAACATTTTCCTTTGCTTCTGAACACTCAGACAGCTCCAACTCACAGGTGAGATGCTTGACAGCACCCAACATAATTCTCTACTTGAAGATGTTTTCTTCCTTTTCATGGTTTCCCTTGTTATACACTATTTTAAAAAAGGTATTATATGTGTGTTTTTATTTCATTTTAAGACACTGTTGGGATAGTAACTGCAGAAATAATTCTTTAGTGTTAAAGTCCCCCTTTCATGGAATTAGCCTGGCCAAATTTTGGATAGTGTTCAGCTTGGGTTAGATTGATTAAGAGTTTGTGTTGTCCTAAATAGTGACTAACACAGCCACCATGTGACAAACCCGGGGTTGACTGGAAAAGAAAAACTACTAGACCAACCCAATTGTGCCAAGAGATGATATTTTATTTTCTTCTTCTCATTTTTTAAAATGAATTCTTTTATTTAACTTTATTATTATTATTATTTTTAATTTATCAGAGAGAGACAGGGAGAAAGAGTGAAATTGAGAAAGCAAGCTTTCAGGTCCAGGAATCAAACTGTGGTCAGTCACGTGGGAGTTCAGTACCCCTAACTATCATACCACCTGCTGACCTCAAGGTGGTATTTTAAATAAAAATATAGCAATAGCAGAAGTCACAGAGAAAAGTCACTGTATCCTAGGATCTCACATTATTTAGGAATCAGGCTGTAGAGTGTCTGTCAGTCTGTAGAGTCTTAAGATGACATTAAAATCAATTGTAGGAATCCCAAAGTTCGAATCAAAAATAAAGTTGAATATTAATCATTTGAATTGGAAAAAAAGTCTTAAGTCCTTTCTCTTAGAAAAAGAATTTCTAGGGGCCAGCAATTGGCCTAAAGGCTATGTTGCTGGACTCCCATGTAGTTGACCATGGTTCGAGTCCCCGATCTGGTGGCTTCATTTCATGCCAGGCGCATGTGCATGCATGCCCAAGATCCTGAGAGAAAAATGGAAAAGAAGGGATTGCAGTGTGGCCATACCCCCTGGGGGGTGATTTCTGGCTTTCTGTCTCTCTGTCTCTCTGTCTTTCTGGCGAGTGCATGTGCCCTATAGCAAAAACCTCTCGAAAAAATTAAAAAGGAAAGAAAAAGAAAAAGAATTTCTAACTTTCCTCATTTCAAAAGCATCAGAGTAAATGGTGAGGGACATAAAATACATATAGGTTTCAAAAGCTAAGTGTAAATGGTCACAGCCCTTAAAAACAGTACAAGTTTAAGAAAATGAGGGCCTTTATATATCATTTGAGAACTCGATGATGATTCTAACTGCAGTTAGGCTTTTAAGTGAGAGTGTGGAAGAATATGGAAGATTTACTGCTGAGTGAAGCAAGCCAGGCTATGAAGGAGAGACACTCCCCACTTAATATATAGCGAGTGTCCACACTCTGTGATTGAAACTGATTGACTAAAGGATACAGAAACACAGTAAATGGATCTGAATACCAGATATAGTGTGTGTGAAAGAGTAGAGTCTGAGGAAGGACATTTAGAAGAAAAATAGAGAGGCAAAGCATTAATGGGACAAAGAAATGTGGTATTATCTGTTGAAGATAATTTTATAGTTTTATCAACTGGACTAGGGAGAAATGTACACATGTTGAAATATTCACTTTGCAAGCTAAATAATGTGATTGAATGTACAAAAAAACATTAAAAAAAATAAATGAGAGTGTGAGCTTGCCGCTGCTTCTCAACTCCCAATTGGATACTGAAGGAAAGGGCTCTTTCTCCTTTTCCTGTTCTGGTGCCTTATTAAAATCATTCTTCTTTCTTCTTTTTACATCTTTCTTTGTGGTAGATGTTCCCCACAGTTCCTGGCCA